CACTTGGAAAATATTTTGGTGGTGTTTGAAATGGATAGTATGGCCTAGGTTTTGGTATATTCGTGATCATTGTGATCAATTATCACATGGAGTGCAGGCACTTGGAAAATATTGTGGTGGGTAGAAATCTGAAGAGTTTTAGGTAGCTGGTGGTGAAGGGTGGGATTCTGAAGCACAAGGCCATTGGAAGGGAAACTGGTGCTGCCTTCAGGTTGGGCACGGCTGTGACTTGCTGCTGTGTTACTTTTCAGACCAAGGAACCCTTCCAGTTGGAGAGCTGCAAACCTAATTAAGTAAATAAGGTTTTATATAGACCCCCTGCTTTGCTGAGGACCCACCTCTGTGTGTGTGTGTGTGTGTGTGTGTGTGTGTGTGTGTGTGTGTGTGTGTGTTAAGGTGTCTCAGAGCAGAGCTGGCAGTGGTGGCAGTGGTGAGGGTGTGCTCCTGCTTGAAACACATGATGACTTTGCTGTTTCTGTGGGGATGAGCTGACTGGCAGAGGCTTGACCTGGCTGGTCTGGCTTCCCAGGATGCCACGGCCAGCTCCTGAGTCCCTGGAAACTCATTTATGGAAAGAAGGTAAAGGTAAACAGGCACGTCCCGTGCCTCGGAAAGGAGGGCATTAAGGAATTAAAATAGACTCACCTGAGACCTGGTCTTTCCCCTGGCAGGCGCTGCTGCCCGAAGCAGCTCTGAAACACAAGGCCATTGGAAGGGAAACTGGTGCTGCCTTCAGGTCGGGCACGGCTGTGACTTGCTGCTGTGTTACTTTTTCAGACCAAGGAACCCTTCCAGTTGGAGAGCTGCAAACCTAATTAAGCAAATAAGGTTTTATATAGACCCCCTGCTTTGCTGAGGACCCACCTGTGTGTGTGTGTGTTAAGGTGTCTCAGAGCAGAGCTGGCAGTGGTGGCAGTGGTGAGGGTGTGCTCCTGCTTGAAACACATGATGACTTTGCTGTTTCTGTGGGGATGAGCTGACTGGCAGAGGCTTGACCTGGCTGGTCTGGCTTCCCAGGATGCCACGGCCAGCTCCTGAGTCCCTGGAAACTCATTTATGGAAAGAAGGTAAAGGTAAACAGGCACGTCCCGTGCCTCGGAAAGGAGGGCATTAAGGAATTAAAATAGACTCACCTGAGACCTGGTCTTTCCCCTGGCAGGCGCTGCTGCCCGAAGCAGCTTGCAGCTGTGGGGAGAGCAGCACAGGGCTGGTGGTGGGCACCGGCTGGAATAATTAGCTGTGTCAAGCTGCAGAGATGAACAGCAGCGTTCATCTCCTCGGCTGCTGCTCCTACATGTAGATGTGAAAACTCCCTGGGTCGGTGTCTGGGTCCAGCACTGGGCGTTTTCTGGTGTGGTCTGGAGGCAGGAGCAGAGTCATGCCCAGAAGGTGGGAGAAGGAGAGGTGCCAACGGTGGTGGCACTGGAACAGCCTGCCCAGGGAGGTGGTGGAGTCACCATCCCTGGAGGTATTTAAGAAACGTATAGACATGGCTCTTCAGGGCATGCTCTAGTGCCCAAGGTTATTGGTTTATGGTGAGGTGTTCGGTGTGGGGTTTAGTTGGTGGGTGTGGTGTTTTTGGTGGGCGTTTGGTGTGGTGGTGTGGTGTTTTGTCTTTTTTTTTTGTGGTTGGACTCGATGATCTCAGAGGTCACTTCCAACCACTAAGATTCTGTGATTCTGGGATCTGTACCTGTAGGGTGAGAGCTTGGGCACTCGGCTCCAGGCCGACTCAGTCCCTGCTCGAAGGACTGCTCGCAACTGTCATGCTAAGTCACTGCTGCAAAAATAGTGGGATAGAAAAAAAGGCCGGGGGGTGGGGGTTATGGAAGAAGAGCTTCAGCTCCAGCAGTTCGGATTTAAGTACAAGGAGCCGGGCTCTCTCCCACTCCCAGTTCTAGTCTTGAGTGGCTTCTATTCCTGGCATGAGATCTTTCACAATTCCTCTCCCTGCCACCCCTCTTCTCCCGTGGGTGTTCGGTGTGGGGTTTAGTTGGTGGGTGTGGTGTTTTTGGTGGGCGTTTGGTGTGGTGGTGTGGTGTTTTGGTAAACAGACACATCCCGTGCCTCGGAAAGGAGGGCATTAACGAATTAAAATAGACTCACCTGAGACCTGGTCTTTCCAGCCTGGCAGACGCTGCTGCCCAAAGCAGCCCCCTGCTCGAAGGACTGCTCGCAACTGTCATGCTAAGTCACTGCTGCAAAAATAGTGGGATAGAAAAAAAGGCCGGGGGGTGGGGGTTATGGAAGAAGAGCTTCAGCTCCAGCAGTTCGGATTTAAGTACAAGGAGCCGGGCTCTCTCCCACTCCCAGTTCTAGTCTTGAGTGGCTTCTATTCCTGGCATGAGATCTTTCACAATTCCTCTCCCTGCCACCCCTCTTCTCCCGTGGGGGGCGAGGGGCTCCGTGTGCCATGGGCAGGGCTGCTTCTGGTGTGGCTCCATGACTTGGCTCCTCTCACGCTTCACTTGCTGCATCCCTGAAAGCCTCTTCTCACTGCCTGCTGAGGGAGGCACCGCGCTGCAGCCTGACCTTCACATCCCCTCTCATGCAGCCACCCCTCAAGACGAGCATCCTTCAGCTTCACGTTGGGGTAGCTGCAGGAGCACGTCAGCAGAGGGGGACACCGAAGCTGGTGGCTGTCAGCCATGTCTCTGAGCTCCCATGTCTTATTTGTCCCCTTTGCTGTGGGGGGTGATGCAGCGTTCATCTCCTCGGCTGCTGCTCCTATGTGTAGATGTGACAGCTCCCTGGGTCAGTCTGGGTCCAGCACTGGGCGCTTTCTGGTGTGGTCCGGAGGCAGAAGCAGAGTCATGCCCAGAAGGTGGGAGAAGAGGTGCCACCGGTGGTGGCATCTGTACCTGTAGGGTACAGATGGGGGCGAGGGGCTCCGTGTGCCATGGGCAGGGCTTCTTCTGGTTTGGCTCCATGACTCGGCTCCTCTCACGCTTCACTTGCTGCATCCCTGAAAGCCTCTTCTCACTGCCTGCTGAGGGAGGCACCGCGCTGCAGCCTGACCTTCACATCCCCTCTCATGCAGCCACCCCTCAAGACGAGCATCCTTCAGCTTCACGTTGGGGTAGCTGCAGGAGCACGTCAGCAGAGGGGGACACCAAAACTGGTGGCCACAGCCATGTCTCTGAGCTCCCGTGTCTTATTTGTCCCCTTTGCTGGAGGGGGTGACGGTGGGGCAGGGTGGTGGCAAAGGAGGACCCCAGAGCTAGTTCCACCTTTGCCACCTTGTTCCTTCGTGCAAGGAAACTGAGGAAGGTAAAGGTAAACAGACACATCCCGTGCCTCGGAAAGGAGGGCATTAACGAATTAAAATAGACTCACCTGAGACCTGGTCTTTCCAGCCTGGCAGACGCTGCTGCCCAAAGCAGCCTGCAGCTGTGGGGAGAGCAGCACAGGGCTGGTGGTGGGCACTGGCTGGAATAATTAGCTGTGTCAAGCTGCAGAGATGAACAGCAGCGTTCATCTCCTCGGCTGCTGCTCCTATGTGTAGATGTGACAGCTCCCTGGGTCAGTCTGGGTCCAGCACTGGGCGCTTTCTGGTGTGGTCCGGAGGCAGAAGCAGAGTCATGCCCAGAAGGTGGGAGAAGAGGTGCCACCGGTGGTGGCATCTGTACCTGTAGGGTACAGATGGGGGCGAGGGGCTCCGTGTGCCATGGGCAGGGCTTCTTCTGGTTTGGCTCCATGACTCGGCTCCTCTCACGCTTCACTTGCTGCATCCCTGAAAGCCTCTTCTCACTGCCTGCTGAGGGAGGCACCGCGCTGCAGCCTGACCTTCACATCCCCTCTCATGCAGCCACCCCTCAAGACGAGCATCCTTCAGCTTCACGTTGGGGTAGCTGCAGGAGCACGTCAGCAGAGGGGGACACCGAAGCTGGTGGCTGTCAGCCATGTCTCTGAGCTCCCATGTCTTATTTGTCCCCTTTGCTGTGGGGGGTGATGGTGGGGCAGGGTGGTGGCAAAGGAGGACCCCAGAGCTTGTTCCACCTTTGCCACCTTGTTCTTTCGTGCAAGGAAACCGATGGTGGGAAGCGAGATCCCACCACACACCGTGGTGGTTGTCCATCTTAGGTGGAGCGTTTTTGTCACTCCGCTGGTATGAGGTGGGAACGATCCTCACGGTGCACAGCCTGTGAAGAAATGCCTGCTAAAAATACACACTGAGTATTACCAATGCCATTAAAATCTTACTGTAAATTTTGTTTGCACTATTAAAAATTTTTCTTCCTCGCCCCCCAGGCAACAGAAATAAGCCTGCGCATGTTTATTCATTCATCTGTCAAGTTACAAAATACTTCCAGAAAAGTATTTTGAATTTAATTGTAGAAAATAAGATTTAAGAAAGACCGCAGTACCTTAAGCTGAGGCTGCTGTTACATTCTGTGATGATAAACTGGGACGGATGCTTTTTTCTGTACTTTCAACATGGTTATTTAATAAAACTCAGCTACTTTACTCAGCTTTCTTGTTATTAAAATTTAAAGCTGGGCAAGGCTGGAACCTTTTCCTGCCCAAAAAGCACTTTGCGCGCATTGTATTTACTAAGGCTGAATTTAGGCGATACTGGTTCCAAAAAGCCCCTGATCTGGCTGCCCTACACTTGATACTGGTGTGTGGCTTCCAGAGTGTCTTATACAAGAGCATGAGGTCCAGAACTCCCCCCTGTTCCCCACAGGAGCGGACAGCACGGTACTTGCAGGAATGGGCAGAGTGGTTTCTGGGCTGGGGGCTAGGAGGAGCCAGGGGCACTGGGCTCTTCCATCTTGCTGTGTTCCAAAAACTCAATTTCAGAATTTCTCAGTTTACTTTACTTGGCAAAGAATTTATGCTTAGCTATACGCAGAACAGTATCATAATGTGTTTACCTTTGTGTTCTTACTCATTTCTTTGTTTTAAAGAAATCCAGTTCATCTTCAGGAAAAGCATGTTGTACTCTGGTGTGTGGAGGCAAAATTACAGGCAAAAAAACCACCACGCTTACACATGACTGTGAAAGCTACAGCTTTATTTTGTGATCTGTATGTTACATTAACATGCTATGGATTTAGCCTTCATTAAGGTGACGAGTTATTAAGGCTCCAAACCCCAACAAATACAGGGAAAGCTAACCAATGGCAAGAGAAAATTTAGTGCAAATGTAAACAAACGCCTTTCAACTGAGATCCTTTTGTGTCTGTAAACTTCAAGGAGGATAGACAGTGACCTGGAATACTTTGGATTCATGCAAAGAGCAAGATTAAATGCAGACCTACCTATTTTAACTAGATGGTTCTTGCCTATTTTCCTCTCCTGGATTGGCTAGTGCACAGGAGGCCTCTGCCGTGCCTATTGTATCACCAGGGAGGGTCTGATATGTTCCTTCTGCTCATCAAGGCTGTTTCTCAGCTGTCGCTGAGGACTGCTGAAACAAACATACCAAAATGTCTTTCCCCATGAGCTTGTAGGTGTGACCTTGGCAGTGTTCACAGATAGACTGACGGGGGAGATGCCACCAAGGGGGAAGATAAATGGTGAGGTGCTGACCTGGCAGTGACACGGTCATACTGTAAGTAGTGGGTTTTCATCTGGTCTGTCTCATCGCTAGCAGATACATGTCACCCAGAAGGGTCTAAATAAAGGCTTACACAGTGACCGCAGCGTTTACCATATCAAATAGCCCATTTATTGTTTGTCAGGCTGGAAGCTGGTTTCCCAGGCTGCTTATAAGTAAGGATAGGAAGGTGAGCTTCCATGAGAGCCCACAAGAAGATCTACCTTTTCATGAGTTTGCCTTTTTCTCTAGTCTTTGAACCACATGAAAGGCCTCTAAAAATTCATTGAAGTCGATGTGGCCATCTTTGTTGTAGTCTATGCTGAGGACTAACTTGTCAAGGGCTTCATCCTGCACATCGATGCCCAGGTGAGAAGCGAAGAGTTTCCATGTCTGTCTGAACTCCTCGAGAGAAATGAGACCTAAAGGAGACAGAGAGCAGATTGCTTTCTGCAGTGCTGTTTCCCCTTCCCCACACACAGGCATGCAAACCCTCCACTGCATGGAGGTTACCTGCCTGCCCTGGCTTGGGGGTGCTTTGGGATTTCATGACAGAAGTATGTTTTCATTTCACGTAACGATCTAATGTTTTCAACGGGGGAATTGAGAAAGCAGGAAAAACTGAGAGTGAGAGTCGAAAGGAAAAAAAGCCCCTAAAAGAGTGAAGCCAGCACTGGAGATGGGATGTGTGAGATTTTTTTTCTCAAGTTAGGCTCTGGCACTGTCCCTTATATGGTTACAGCCTGACTGCTTAAATTAGTCTGCACTAAACTGGAAAAGTGACATCACCTCTGGTTCCTCTACATTTAGAAGCCTTAAGGAGGAAACACAGTGGGGAAAGATAACTAGCATAGGCTTCCTAGGACTCGTACAGTGAAGTTACCTAGCCTTACCTGAATGGTCCTTGTCAATGATGTTAAAGATGATTTCCAGATCCTTTCTGTATCTGCACAGTGTTTCCGCCAACGCTGGCTGGACCTGGTTTTGAAATCAAAGGAAACCATTCAGACCTTGATTTGAGTTAGTCTAACCCACAGAATCTGTACTACCCCTATCTATTTTCCCAGTTTAATTTGTCAAGTTTTTTTTTTTTAAAAAATCCTTATGTTCAAGTTCCCTGGAATGACACTTTGTGTCTTGCCCCGAGGAATCATCAGCTAAAACCTGTCACTTTCAGATGGCAGGACGAGGGGGAAGGAGCCCTTCGCACCTCCTACCTTCAGCAATTATTTGCGGAAATGGGATAATCTAGGGAGGATGCTGTAGGCCGGGCACTCGTACAAAGCTTTCGCTGTACGGATGTGAATGGGTCCTGCTGCTCAGAAAAAGGATGGAGACAGCCAAGTACCAAAGCACTGTGCAGCCACTCAGTACAGTAACAACTGGTCTGTGTAGAAGAGACCTCGGCTACCATGAAACATCTAAAAGTCCATCTACAAATTTGACATCCTCCTACAGGTGCCCAAACTGGCTCTGGAGCACATTTGAAAAGCTCCTCTCAGAGAGTGAGGGTTGCGTGCTCTGGGTGGGATTTGTCGCATCTCCTCAGCTCTGTTATCTAAACGCCCTTGAGAGTCAAGGGAAAGTAAGAAGCAGTTCTAGCATGTGATTCATCCAACCTATTTTAGGCATCTACCTTAGCAGGGAATGATGAGTCGTACCCTAGCAGTGCTCATTTCCCTCCAGTGACTATAAAAGGAAGCTCGGCAACTAGTTCAGCTGTAGATGTCTACCTGATTGGCCAAACCACTGCCTTGTGCCTCAAGTTGCACCAAAAGCTGTTCCTCCCAAGATTTGCAAAGGAGGCCTTTTCCTCCTTACCTCTTTTACAGGTTGACCTATTTTCAAATCGTAAAAACATGACATGAAGTCAACTTCTCCATCGGAGTTCATCTGTGCTAACTGAGGCCGCAGCATCCTCCAGGGCAGTTCCAGCTTTAGGACAGACTCCATCGCTGCAGCCCAGTCATTGACAGAAATCTTGCCTGCCAGAAGGGGTCAGATTATGGTTACAAGGGGTACGTGACGCAGCACACATCAGTCACCAGCATGCCTTCTGCTATTATTAAGAACAGTTGCAAAACATCAACATTTTCTCCTAGCCCTAGGATAAAAACCCTCATTACAACAAACAGAGGGGTTGGACTAGAGATTTCCACAGGTTCCTTCCAACCTCAACAACTTTGCGACTCTGTCGTGATGTTTGGCATGTTTTAATACCTTTTGAGAAAACGAGACTATGCCATGAAGAGTACTGCAGATTTGAGCTGAGCTCCAACTATAGAGGCCTATGTTGCTGAAAACCCAACAAGACAGAAATATGTTAACGAGCTCTTCATTGGCCAAAGAAACAGTACCATCACTTATCGACTGCCCTTTTAGCGGCACCGATGACAACCCAGGCAAGTGAGAAGCCATCAAGAGGAAAAGTCGTATTTGTGCTAGAAATCACAAACTCCTTGCTCCTACATAAAAGGTTCATGTATCAACTTACCACTGACTTTTCTTCAGCTGATGGGTGAGCATGTGTCTCCTAGTGGCATAGCCAGTCCACTTCAGTCAAATATCTCCCAGAATCGGGAGACACGTTTCCCCTCACCTCAGGCCCCAGTTCACTTCATGCCAAGTGAAGTGGTGACCTTTGAGCTTCTGGAGTTGGATTTGCCTGCCCAAACTCCCTGCTCAGCAGCAAACACTATTTCCTTATTTGCCCATATGTTTCAGTCGTCTTCCTCTTCCTACTCAAAGCTTCATCCCTTCACGTTGTTTTGTGGGGCTAAGCATCTGCTAACCCCTACCCTCCTCTGTGCTCAGGAAGAATGTAAGATCAATGAGCCTCTGCTGCCCTCCAGCCTTATGCTGTCAGGCAGGGCCCCTCTCCATGGGCTTTGTCCCCTCTGCCCCTACGCACACCTGGTGGCAACTGGACAGACTGGTAGTGTTACCTGTGCCGTTGAGGTCATACTTCACAAAAGCACGAGTGAGTTCAGCCCTGTGGGCATAAATCGTCTCTCGTAAGGACTTTAAGGCAGATGATTCAATTGTACCCACCCTAGGAGGAAAAAAACGGAGAACAGGTCATTAAAAGATTTAAATCCTCTAGCGTTTTATGCTTTTCAGCATTCATTATCAAATTCTTATATCCTTTAACATGTAGCATGCTTAGGGTCATCCTGAAAGACAACACTGGGGGGAAAAAACCCCTCAAAACCAACAAAACAAACAAAGGCCCATAAGAATAATCTGAATTTATGAGATAATCGAGTTTATGCAGGTAATTCTAAGCTGCTTTGCTTTAGTAAATCTGACCACAGCGCTAGGCATGGCAAAGCTGTCATGATAAACTTTTTGGACTCAATTCATAACAGGATTTGCCCAGATTAGCACTGCAGCCTTAAAGCAGACCTGACAGACAAGCGCAGGCCCTTCAGGAGTCCCTGGCAATTGTCTGTTCTAACCGCTTACCGCATCTAATTACCTTTGGGAGTTCCTCAGGAAACCAAGTTAGAGCACTTAGAACATGTTTTGTCTACTGTATTAATTTTTAAATTGAAAACAGAAAAACAAGGAAAAAGCAAGGAAAACAGATGCCTATTCAATTATTCAGCAAGCTATAGATCTGTGGCAGGTACTCGGATGCCAAGTGGGTACCCGCTCACTGCGTTACAACACACGGCTTTACCTCTCCCGAAGGTTCTGCCTGCGCGTGTACTTGCTGACTCGATACTGCACGAACCGAGGAATCAGTTCTGGATTCAGTTTGATGTAGGCTCCCCGGTTGCTCCCCTCTTCGTAATAGTTAGAGGCAGAAAATATGGTGATAACCTGGTCATAGGAAACAAAGAGACTGGCTTGGCAAGAACAACTCTTCTTGAGACTGATTTCTGAAACTCACCTTAGAAAAACATGCAGGTTACAAAATTAAGTGTCTACAACTAAAAAAAATGGAGATCAACAACTATGTAGTTCATGAAATTGCTTGCACTTTTCAAGTCACAGCTCCAGGCCTGTATTTTTGGCCTGTCATAGGAAGACTTCAGTTCCGAGGACAGTGTGATATGACACACTTGTTTAATAGAAACCTTTTTCTAAGATAGTATGATAGAATCATAGAATCGTAGAATGGTTCGGGTTGGAAGGGACCTCAAAGATCATCTAGTTCCAACCCCCCTGCCATGGGCAGGGACACCTCCCACTAGAGCAGGTTGCTCAAGGCCACATCCAGCCTGGCCTTGAACACTTCCAGGGATGGGGCATCCACAACTTCTCTGGGCAACCTGTTCCAGTGTCTCACCACCCTCATAGTAAAGAATTTCTTCCTGAGATCTAATCTGAATCTTTTTTCTTCCAATTTAAAACCATTTCCCCTTGTCCTATCATTACCCTTCCTGGCAAAGAGTCCCTCCCCAGCTCTTCTATAGGCACCCTTCAGGTATTGAAAGGCTGCTATAAGGTCTCCCAGATAGACCTGGTTTTCAGGATTCTTGCTGGCCTCCTGATACAGCATGTCAGAAAGCAGGGCCAGAAGAGAAAGAGTAAGTTAAAAGGCTTCTCTAGAGCCTTAGAGCATCTCTGGTACTGTATTTACACAGAACTCTCCTTGGGGATTTCGTTGATGTTCATTTGTCTTCACACAAGTAATAAGCCAGTCCCCACCCCCTCAAGCCGCAAAGGATTTTCTCTGTTAGAACTCCATAATTCATTCTAACATCTGTCTAGCACACAGTTACCCCAAACCCATTCTAAAGAAGGCACTCATTTTTTCAATTAACTTTGCAGACAAATCTACTGTGGGCGTGCCTGTGAAACTCACGGGAGAATTCTCCTTTACATGGCAGCATCTTACCTTCCCACCGTGACTGATCTCATAACCTTCTGGCTTAAATTCATGAGACCTGATGAGCATCTTCAGATTATACTTTTTAAACAGCTTGGCAGTGACATCAGGGCCAAAGTAACAACCTCCTCCTCGACATTTGTTTGGTGTGCAACCATTCTGGCTTCTTGGGTCACTCCAGAGAATGTCAAGGATCTGTAAAATGCAAACTCAAGCAAATGAGGACTGATGGCAGGGGAGGACTGGCGGGCTATGGCAGTCTGAAGCAGTGGCCATGGCAAAAGCCCCACAGTACAGGGAGAAAACACACCTGCGCTAACAAGTAGGTCTTGTGTTTTCTTCCTTCCTTTCAGCAGGGCATTCCTTTGGGCTGAAACTTTTGTTCTACTTTTCTTTAGAAACATCTAGATTTTGGATGGACTTTTTGAGATGAAATATTATTTCTGAAATGTACCTCCTTTTACAGCTGAAGTTTCCAGATTCGGGTGGGTGCATCAGGAATGGGCTGTTCCAAAGAAAGCGACAGCTGCCGCCTTCGCATGTGTATGTGAGAGGCCCTTTCTGTTTCCCAGCACGGACCTGATAACCACATGGGTCACTGATTTTTCCTAAACTAAGCTGGGGAGTGCCTGCTCTAAACATGACAAGAATTGCCTTTGCCTTTATTACCTTGGGTTAGCTCATGTTTTGAAACAAGATTTCACAGACATGAGGATGAATTATCATGGTTTAAAATCACCTAACCTATTAATTCTAGTCAGTAGCAAACATTAGGCAATGTGTTTGTTTAAATGGCACTGGACAAGATTTACACTAACATATTCCACTTCACATTTGTGAGCATGGCTCAGTGGAGACTTGGGTAGCTGGGGGAGTGTCAGATTTGAGGGGTTGCTTGTGCCCATTACATTAGTTTGTAGGTCAGATATGTATCTTGGGAAATCACATTTTCAGAGACAGATTTGCTTCTCAAGAAGCAAAACAAAAGTGCGTGCCCCTTAAAGAAGCTTTCTGAAGAGAAGCTCAGAAAAATAAGCTTGTACACAATGCAATTTTGACCTTCTAAACTGCTGTGCAAATTAAGCTTTTCAAATTGTCACAATTTATTAAATTACAGCATGACAAGAGCTCCATATTGCCTATAATATTGAAGAGGAAATGAATAGCCAGAGGACAAAAAATTCCCACTCCTGAGTAACCAGCCTGTAGGTCTCAGAAGGTGGGTTTTTTTGAACTCTACCAGCATTCAGCTGCCAAAAAAGGTGCTCACTGTCAATGACAATCGCAAAGTCTGACCTAAACTGACAACCACATATGTGCCAACACATCCAATCACATGAGGGCACACAGAAAAGGTCTCATACTGAGCTCTTTCTTCCTCATAGAATCATTATGGTTGGAAGAAACCTTTAAGATCATCAAGTCCAATCATTAACTCAGCACTGCCAAGTTACCACTAAACTAACGGCTAAGAAAAAACACAAGTAAATTGTACTTGTAAGGTCTAAAATAACAAGCCTTTGTTACCAGGTCTACAAAAAGCATCCAAAGAACTAATAGCTGGCTAGTGTACTCCGAAGAATGATGAGTTTCTTATTAAGAGACAGTCGCCTCAGACTCAAAAGTACTGCCTGACCAGATCACCTGTCGGGTTTGTGCGGGGTGGGGGGTTAGTGTCAGTCAGGTTTTGGTTTCACCTACTTGCTTCCATTCCTTTGGGGTGGGTTCTGGAGGCAAATTTGAGCCTGAAGGCTCAGTGGAGCCCGATGAAGTGATGTGTTGTGTTTTTCCTGCAACATTCTGGTTGGCAATGTGTTTACTGGTTGTGGGAATTCTCTCCTTTGCTTGGTCCTGTCTGTCTCTCAATGACTTCGGTGGCCGCATCAAAGATTTCAACTTAAAAAAACCAAAACAGAACACATTGAAAGAGTTACAAGAACATAAAAATGATACAGAGATGTCAGCTGAAAGGCACATCAGTTCATCAGTTCGCCTTTTAATGTACTCAATAGTGAACTCTCAGAATGTCCTGAATTTACAGGTTGGGTGGAAGCTGCAGGTGTTTGGCACTTGCAGAAATTTTGCTTTATATCTATCAATGATCAGCCTCTTCAGAGCTACTCTCATATTCCTAACAAGACACACAGGCTGATTCCAAACCACAGTCAATCACAGGGTCTCACTATGCAGCAAGTACAGTCTGGGCTCAGGGCAGACACTTTAGTGCCCAGCTTTACTGGAAACTGAAAATGTGCATGTATACTGCACTGAAGATGAGTTGGCATTCACTACTGCTCTGATACACTAGCATGCTGCTAGGTTAATTTGGCTGAAATCAGTGGAACAGCACGAGGGTAACAGTGAAATTGATGAAGTATTAAATCAGGCTCTTTTACTGTTAAATCAACCACCTCCAATATGCATGGGCATTTGATTTTTTGGGGCTGCGTGCTATGGCTCCATGAATGCCCATTAATAGAGACTCTTCCCCAGGGAGTGTCTTTTCTTCTTATTTGAAATTGTCTCATACTAGCTCTGTTTTGAACAACCCCCTCCCCCAACAATCCTCTCCCCCCTTAATTCTACTCTTTAAGAAAGAAAAGAACTGATGGAAAACACAATGCAAAACACTGGGTTTTTCCCCAGTGCACTGACCAGTACTTGACACCTGTCAGTTGGCAGCTGTACCAATTAAAATACATCAGTTGGCCTTGAGTGATATCGCCCTGTGTTGTGGCCCACACATGTCTCATTAGCAACGCTCTCCTGTGGCAGCAACTTTGACCTGTTAATTCTGCATTTCACAGATGCCGCATGAGTAACACGCCGAGCCCGGCCTTGGTGAAAGCGTGGGCAGAACTTAAATTCACAGTTAAGACACCTACATCTGTAGTTAGGCACCCAGTTTTAGTGTACAGTGGTACAGCCAACAGAGTCTAGACTCTGATGACCCGAAGGATTCATTGCCCTTTTTTCACATCTTTAAGAAACAGAGATACACCTGACTGTCCGGTAAAGCATTTATTTCTGTGTTAGAAAACATGAGGATGAGAGAATTAGTATCTTTAGATTCCACAGACACTAATCACAAGATACAAAAGGTTGCTTAAATATATGTATCCTCTGCCATCTGAAATGCTCTACCATGTCTGTGAATTAGCATAAAGTGGGCAGATATGAACCAGACCTAAAGGAGACTGGTGGAGGAGACCTGTGAAGAAGACTTTCTCCAGAGGCGACAAGAGGGGACATCCCTCAGCTAAGGGGTGCTTCTGCAAACAGCACTGGAGGCTGACCAATGATAAGACCTGGATCTCCATCGATTATAAGGAACCTAAGCACCTGCTCACAACCTCACACCTGCTCTCGATTTAGTTGTCCAAATTGAGACCAAATCCCACACCATTTTCCACTGATTTGAAAGAGCTGTGTTTGCTCACCATTTCAGAAAAAAAACCCACAAAAGGATATTTCTGTCTTCTAAATCCCTGAAAAGCAGTAGTTTCTGTTTTCTCAAGGCCAGGTCCTGAAGTTTGATCCTGCTGGAAAGGCTCTCCCACATATGCAAAGCCCAGCCGCTGCCAAGGGAAGGCCTCACAGGTAGAGAACTTCCCCCACACTACAGATGGCAGAATCACAGCCCCCAGACAGAAGGCAGTACTAAAAAGATGTGTCTAGATTGATTTCTAAAGTTTTTAGAAATGCCTGAAAATTAAGTACTTTTCATACTTTCTGGGTACTGCATCATCATGGCAGGAAGGAGTTATCTAAAGTGTTTTTAGCAATTTTGAAGTCAAAAAACCCATGTTATTTTACAGCAGCCAAACTGGCTCCCAAGACCTATTGAAACCTTCCTTCCTAAATGCTAATTTTGAAGAAAAACAAACTCTTTTTTCCTTATGTGCCTTATACAGCAGCCATTTCCTTTCCTGAAGCAAACAATTTCATCTTAACATTTGTATTGCTAACTTTTTTAACGAAAACAAAATTATCCCTATGTGAATATGAGCTCTTACCTTATTTCTCTCAAGTTTATTCAGGAAATCCAAATCTGTGGAGTCTGAAATCCCTCCATGTAGGATAAGAACTTTGCTATCAATTATAGTGGCGAGGGGAAGCCAGCTGAAGACATCTTGCAGAAGACCCAAAATCTGTTTCCCATGGTCCTGTAAAACATACTCTTATATTAGATCCTATTTCTGGCATATTCTGTTGCTCTAAATTGAAGATTTTGCTGAAGTGTCTACCACAGTCTGTACAACAGCCCCATCGGGTGACACCCTGAGCTGCAACACTGACAAACACGTTCTGACATTTACTTCAGTGCTGTTTGATTGTCCCTCTAGCATTTCGTTCTCCTTTCACGTGCACATCTTTTTGTGCTCTTGAGTAGCCTTATGAATGGTATTTATTTCATCCCACAGATCTCTAGGCATAAAAGGCTAACACTCAAAATTGGTTTGCCTGTTATTCCACTGAAAAACAAAAATTATTTCAACTACATTACTAAAGTCATTCTGTACTACACTTAAATAAACTGTTTGGAAGTTTCCTTATTTACACTAGTTTCATTTTACATGTGCAAGACTACAAAGAAAACATATAGGAAGGAGGAGGAATCTTACCTTGTACTTCTTTGAAACTTCTTTTGTAAAGCCATATCTGAAAATGGGACAACATCATGAACAGGTTTTCAATATGTCCCATCTGCATGATATTCTATAGTGTTTGCTACTGTATAGAGTTTTCTGTCCCTCTCTTTTTCCTGCCATTGTCTCACCTCTGTTTAAATGTGCTCTCTTCTGCTCTGTCTCAAGAATTGAGTTAAACTGATTTTTTTGTACATACAAGAGATCAGGACCAGAATCTAGACCAAAAATTGTTGTGGCCTTTTTCCCAGCTAAATGAAATAGCTTACCAGTTTTATATTTTAGATACCAGAAAGAAAGTTCAAAGGAACCTAACTGATGATGAGCAAAAAGTCCCACCAAACCCCCACAGAGTTTTTGTTCTAAATCACTCGACTTTATTAGACAATGTCATCTATCATGTCTTTTCCCCCACAAGGGACAAGGATTTTGATACTTCATTCTTTTAACACCAAGATATCCTTGGTGCAAGGGGCATTTTCATAACACTCTAGCTCTCAGCTTTCCATTTTACCAGGGTGCAGCACTGCTAATCAAAATGCCCAGCAAAGAGCCATACACAGGAATGCATTTTTGCACCCCAAGCCATCACAGACTTAAGTTAATATTTTCCATTATTTTGGGTAGGAATTTTCCTTCCTTGTAGATAAAGTAACTGATCCCGTTTTATATGTTGTTTTGTTGTTTGTTTGTTTTTTTAAATTAAGTGCTGAAAAGGCAAGTATCATGTGAAACTGATTCTCTTACGTGGATCATTAACAGGATTTGAACATCAGCCTCTAACCCAGGTTTATGCCTGTGTTAAAACAGCAATATGTTCCGTATGCACTCATCAAATGATTTAAGGGATACAACAGGTTATCCACCAGCCAGTTACCCAAAGACTTAGTGGAGCAACTTAGAATTATAGGGACTAAAACTAAGGAGGAGTTCTCATGTCTGTGAAATTATTTTGTCTACAAGTGACACTTCCACTACAGCCTGAGTACAAATGTCTGTATTAGAAAACAGCGTCTCGGCTGCTCCTGCCATGGACCAGACTGCCACCTCTCAACTAATGGACCTCCACGGTGTGGAATCTAGGATATTTACTCACCCCTTGTTTGGGAATGTGGCAGTGTATTCACCCTACCCAGCTCCCCGCTCCTGCAAGGCAATGGGCTGCACGCCAGGATCTCCCCTTGAGTAGGGACGCCTCTCAAGGTTACTTCTCAAGGTTCAAATATTCCTTCCCACAACAGATCTTCAGTAAGTGACTAACAGCATGCTAAACTTTGAAATCTTAGCTAAGTGATATAAAGGACTGATTGTGCATATATAATCCTTTAGACATAAACCGTTGACCAAGTCTGGGGCTAAGATTGGATCCAGCTGCACCTAGACTCCTCTCTAAGGAGGAGTTTAGAAAGCAAGAGGGGTCCTTTCTGAACCTTGTGACTCAATGGGAGGGGCTCCCTGACAGCTCTGTCTGACCCTGTCCTCTGTGCAGTACATAACCAAGTGTGCCTTGCCATCGAATCTTGTTAAAACACTGCCATATTTACTATCAAACTTTGTTAAATCACTGTTTTATATCAATAAATATTTCACTGCTTTTCTCTTATCAGTGAAATGCATTACTCCATCCACAACAGATGTGACATCTTAGTCTATAGTTAAGTGAAATATCAGCTCCTGTTTTACTGGGTCCATTATATTGACTACCATTATGTCTTTTGCTATGCTGTGAAAAAAGGCAATGCTTTAATTAATATATCATCCTTCCATCCATTCCCATTCCCCAAATTTGGTACTTCGGAAGCTGCACTAAGCCCATTGACTTCAATGGATTGTGATTAGGCCAGAGATAAGACACAACTCCTGTTCAAGTGCTTGTGTGTAATGAAGATGCCCCCTCACACATCTTGAAGATGCAGAGCTACACCTGAATACCTAATAAAGCATTATTTCTGTTTTAAAGTGTCACAGTGGCTAAAGCAGCATTCAAAAGCTCCAACATTTCTAGTGAAAGGCTGGATACTCCCTCCCCTGGCCCCCTAAAATCTACCTCAGGTTCATGATGTAGTCTTCATGGTTTCCTCTATTCAAGTGTAAATCATTGGGGTAGATAAGAAGAAATGCAAACAGGATTATAAGTATTTCCATAGAATTTTGCCCTCTGTCAACAAAATCACCGTTAAAGACATAGCGGTTCTGTTCTGAAGGCAGACCATTCTGCAAAAGGAAACAAAAACAAGGACATTTAGAGACACTTCTATGCTACTCATATAAAAGAAATAGCATTTCAAATGAGATCACATTGTTAGGAAATCTGAAAAAAAACCCTACAAAACACAGAGATCTAAAACGCAGCATTTCTTTATTTCCACTGCTTAGAACAAAAATCTCTGTATCAGACAACCTGTATGAGCCACCAGAGAAGGGATGACCTCTCTGACTATTCTTAGATTAGATGATGCCATCTCTAATCCTTTCCTCTACCTATTAAATTAATTTGAAAGAGACCGATATGAACATTATTCTTCTAATAAAATATACTTTTCTGTTAATTCAACTGCTGCCAGGAAGTGATGCACTTGCAAATAGAAAGGAGTCATTCATTTTGAACGAAAGACAAGAAATCCATGAAAAATGACCTTCTGACACAAGTCTGAAGGTTCTTATGTTTCCTTACGCAGTAAGAAAAGAGATTTCATAGATTTATACTGTTTGCAGTGTATACTTCTAAAACTCCTGAGAAAGACTGTAGTCCAGAGGATATCAAATCTTAATACAGAACTCTGAAGAACCTTGATTCCAGTTGCTTTAATCCTGAAAGTACTAGCTCCATTTTACTCACTTTGCTCTTTGCCACAGCCCAGGGCAAAAATATACTTGAATGTTCACGAACCTGAGGGGCTGTACATACAGATATTTCTTAGCTTATTTCTTCTGAAGATATAGAGCAATGCTTTATTATGAATGATGACTTAGTACTGTGAATTGAGGGTGTTTCATTAGAGTAGATATCAACATTTTAATGGTGCCATCAGCTTACAGCAACTATTATGTGTAGCTTCATTATTTCCAATTATGAGTACCAGAAACACTACTTCAATTTTGACTTTCCAGAAAAAGGAAACCTCTGTTTTCACAATTGAAATTAGAAGAATTATCAATAGAACATCTACAAAATTGCATTAAAACTGTGGAAGCCACTCGTAACAGGTTTGGCAGCATTGCAAGACATCCTACTTCCTGAATATAGTTACTATGTCAGTGTCCAGCACTTCCTATGTTCCTACAGCATTCTCTGGTGTACTGTCTTAGCAGGTTTATTGCAGGATGCATTATTTGGCCAGAGACGCAGTTAAACACTTAAATTATCATTTGATAATAATCATTTGAATCCATTAGGAAATCTCCTTTTTGTCCTAATCAGCATCCCACACTGTTATGTCTGGATGCAGGAGTGAATCCTTGTCTTTCGATTCCCACGGCAGCACAATCCTGACTGCTATAAATACAACTTGCTTGGTTTTTGCCATAGCCTCCTTCAGCTCTCTCCAACTTAACTTAGACGAGGTGTGTGGTTGCTCTGTGCTCACAGGAGTGGCAATTTAGGAGATTCTACTAATGCAGTGGGTTGTAGTGGTTTTAAAAAGAGAGGATGGATATCAGGAGTGGAACAGACAGGAGAGACTCAGCAGCAGCTCCCGGAAAGATGAATTAATAAAAGCTTTGCCTTAAAACGATAGGCATGTGAATCACCAGCAGACTGTCAGTATATGCACAGCCACTCTGGAACTGCAGTCCTCATGGAAAGAGAGATCTACTGAAGCACTCTCCAGATTCTATCATCACTCTTTTGGAAAAGCCTACCCACAACTCTTAGGTTTAAGTAAGAGTTTGTTTTGGACTTCCAACTTCAATGTGACATTTTAGTTTTGTTCTACACTCATGCAAAGTTTTTATTTCCTTTTCCGTGGTTTCAACCAACAATAACAGCAAAACTAAATTAAAGGCTGTTGCAGCCTTTGACATGTCGAAGAGGTGAACTAGGCCCTCTAATGATTAGCAACTTGCTGCTGGGCATCATTACTGTATCTGCTGGGTTAGTGATTAATTAACTTCCGCTTGTCGTTTGCATTTTCTACAGCTTCAGGCTATTTCTATCCATAGCATCCATTTAACAATCTAACTTAGCAATACATAATTTAAAATTCAAAGGTTTCAAGGAATTTCAGGAAATGCTGTAATTTAATGGAGATTAATGCAGACACTGAATGAACCTTACAAACTGAGATCACTGCACTCTTCATGCCCCTGTTTAGGACTGCACCCTCTTGTTTAAGGTGATGGGTGGTTCATACCAATTCAGAGGAAGAAAATCCCTTCTAACTGAAACAGAGTTAAGGAAGCTGAAGAAAATGGATCCCAGAGGCTGACTGGGTTCACTGCTTGGCTGAGTAAACTGTTCAGAGGGGACAGAAAATACCGTGTCATTTAACTTGCCTCTAAACAATTAAGCAGCTCCATCATGTGCTCTCTATTTTCTCAATGACTTTGCAATGACAAAATATTTGCCCGTTTTATTTGGTTTGGTGGAAGGACTTCCCTAGAAGCTTAACAGAGAATGATTGGGGATAAACTCTAGTGCCTGAAGTCAGTACAAGTTTTGGCTCTGAATTTACTGAAGTAAGGATTTAGTCCTTGCTTAGAGGTTTTTTTCTCTTCGTAACCTCCCTTAGAGAGGGGGAAAGAGAACCACCTTATGTTTACTCCAAAAGAGTAAAATTCAGGCTGACTGCAGTTGTAAATATGACTGTATCTGAGCACTTATCTTTGAAATAGTTCTTTTTCCCATTCTAGGTCCTGTGTATGAAACCAATCTGTAGCATACTCTTATTCCAGTATCAAAAAGGAGGTTCATCTAATTAAAATAACGGCTAAAAGACTGCAAACCAAGGACCAGCTAAACATAGTTGATTGATTATTAAGAAAAGCAGAACTCTGTAAAAAGGTCTGATTATACTTCAACAGGCTTCAGGTATACACTTGGGGAAAACAACCAAGTTTCCATTCAACAAGCGTCAGAAATGTAACGAAGTTGGAAGCAGCGTGGAATTAGATCATTTAAACACCTGGTTTCTCTCACTTAGTCTCTATTCAGTGCAGATGAATGTACAAGGACCAGACACAAATCCTTTTCCCCGGAAAGCTCAAATCAAAGAGAGTATCTGCTCAATGAAAGGTGGTGATTCATGCTAAAGATAAATGTGAAACTCAATATAGGAAATTTCCCACATCTTCAGTTAAATATACAATTGTGGGAAAGATAGCCTGGAGCTTAATTTTTTTCACATGAGTAAAACAGAGCTATGCTTTTTTAACATTAAAAAGCGAGCAGCTGTTCAAAGACACATAAAGGGTACCCAAGGTATTTCCATTTCGTGCAGACTATGTGATTGCTTCCAAGACTTGAAAAGCTTTTAAACAGGCAGCAGTCTTTTTGTTTCCTGTAAACAAATAATAATAAAAAACACTTTGCAGGTACCAACAGAAGGCCCAAATGAAAGCTTCTGCATTTTTTCTGGAGGTCCAAAATTATCCACGGTGTAGTGTTACATCAGGAACTAAGTTAGCTCCTGATTTTTAGAAGACTGTAGCTAATATGGAATATAAAACAGTGGTAGGACTTTGGAGACATTGCAAGGAACCTTCTTAAGTTTTGGTTCACACCCTCGTTCAACATTTAGGAAAAGAAAGATCTCCTGCATCTCCTCCTTCACAATTATCAGGAGGATATGGAGAAGGAAAAGCTATGACAAAGGCACCATTCAAACTGTCCAGGATTTGTGTGTGTGGTACATGCATACTGCATTCACTGTTCTAACAGTGATAAATCATATCCGACATAAATACATGTTCTTAACAACAAATCACGAAGTGAAAACACTACATCACAGACTGCCTACTTACCTTATAGAATATCAGCAAAAGATCGTCTAGGTTTCCATGCAAATCTCCTACAGGAAACAAAAACTTATTTATTTTTTTCTCACCGAGGATGAAAATACAGGAATTATACAACTGGAATTAGTTAGCCCTAAAAAGTTTTTCCCCATGTTTTCCTTAGCAATTTGCTTGTATTAGGATTAGCTTCATTTTAAGGTACGTGCTGAGGCTGCTTGTAAAATCTGGCAATTAAATACTTAAAAGAGTATACAATTGTCTTGTATAAAGTTTTTGTCTTTCCAGATGGATCTAAAGATCAGACCAGTGACATAGCCAAAGGTTCAGTGAGGGAAATGGGAGTAAGATGAACAAACATACCATAAACCTGAAAAACAGAAAATGTCACTAAAAGACATTTGGAATTATGACAGACTTCTACAACTAATAGGTTTAAATTTACTAAACAGCCGACTACATAAAGCACAACCGAACATCTGTCTGATTCAGGGCCAGGTTTTGATTACTACAGGCAGGATTTGATGTAGAATGTCAAGAACTGTTTGTGCTTGTGTGCCTCAGTGCTAAGACCACAGGAATGACAGATTTGGCCCTTTCTGAGAGGTTTGTTTTGGAACAGGCAGGAGAATTTCACCCCAACAGAAAGGATAACTGCGGCATAGCTCCCCTTTGCATAAGACTGAGTTTCGTGCTCGCAGATCCAACCTTCTCTCGTCTGTGACTCACCACCACAAAGCCACAGAAGTTTCAAAACCTAGCTTGTGATAATATGCTTTCACCACCAGTGAGTGAGTAGGAAAAGAGAAGTGACATTTATACCCTGTCTACGTGTTTTCTTTGTAACATTTTATTAATTATGAGTCTGCTGAAGTCATTCTAAGGAGTCCTTCAAGCTCTTAGAGATTTTCATCACGTATGTGGATGCAAACATTTCAGGTGCATATTTAATCTGCATTATTAATTTGAAATTAAAAGAAAATGGGGAGAGGGATATTAATTTTAAGAAGATCAACATTTTGGACCAATTATGTCTAAAAATTGATCTTTCATCTTCTCCAGAGGATCTTTCTGGTTACAAAAGCCATTAGTTTCAATGGCAGGGGACCCCTTTAGATGCTGCTTACATAATGCAAATGCAATACAAATATTTTGCTTAGTAAGAACATGCTGTGTCATGAACAAATATGAATCTGTGTTTCCTTGGTTTGTAGAGAGGTTTTGTTGGTTTGGCTAACAAATTATTGTTTATACAAAAGCTCATTTAAACAAACCCTTTCCAGCAATCAAAGTAGGTGCATAACCACATCTTAAAAAACATTATTTGTTTTGCATGTGTCATAGTAGCCTTCCTTATACTACTTTACTATTGGCACACTGCCAGCTGTCAAGAGCTAATGTCACCATTACTGTTCTGTTTTGCAGCTATTGTGTTCTGTGGCGAGTCAGGATATTGCATCCTTTTATTTATAATTTACAAAAGCGTAATAAAATAGATGGGCAATGAGCTCTTAGTTCTTTACCTTGTGACATATCACATAATTCTGTGAGACTAATTTGTTGGTTGTATAAAGACTGATCCATCCTCTTGGGTCCCTTTAAAAATGAGAGTTTATTATAATTTCAATTTATTCTAGATAGTTATGCTGTCAGTGAAAGGTCCTGTTCGCCACCTCTATTAAGCCCTCACTAAAATCATTACTAAGTAAATATGATGGTAAAGTCTAAATATGATGGTAAAGAGGAGAAAGTGGTAAGACTTGCAGCCAGTGATCAAAATACTTGGTGGCATTTTTGAGATGGAAATGCAGGAATACTTAAGCTACACTGCACTCTTAGCTGAATTAAGACTGACTCATTCAGAAATGTTTAATGAGAAAAAGAAAGAAGAGCTGAGGGACTATCTTAAAATACACTTAGTGTGACTCAGGAACCTTTTTTTGTTGTTCCAATTTATGCATTTGTGGGAAAAAAAAAAAAAAAGGAAAAAAGCATCGAGAACTTTCTTCTCTCTTGAAATGGCATTATTCAGAAATGTCTGTATCAGTCTCTAACCATTTAGAGTATCAACTTGTAGCCCTAAGTGGTTGTCTTCTCTGCCACCTTACCGCAGACGGTTATCTCCTTGGTGTAGGAAGTTGAAAGATGGGTGATATTTGGCATCTCCTTGAGAACCCTCCTAGTTTCAGATAGTAGCTGCAGTACATAGCGGGCATGAAGCAGCTGTGAGAAAAACAATGCAGGGAGAAAAGGAAGATTTATTGGAAGTAGCAATATGTCTGTCTGCTTTATTAATATCAGACACTACAGACCTCCAGACATGGTTACAGGCTGTATGGTTTAGTGCTGGGAATTAGAAGTGTTCATAGCTTTGCACTTGCTTCCCGGTGAGTGAATATAGAGCCCTTAACAAATTTGTTTTATATGTTTTCCCCTTTTTGCTTCTAACGTATTGTTTCTACTCTTCGTATCTACAGAAAGGATAAGAGACTGAGTTATATAGCACTCAGAATCATTGTATAAGGTCATCTGTTCAAAGTAACTGGGGGAAAAAAAAGGATGTCATTCTAGCTGTGAGTAAAAAAAACCCAACAATACAAACCAACCAAAAAAACCCTGAAGGCCATAAATGATATTTCAGAAACTTGCAAAAATAATGAGAGTAAAACTCCAGCAAGCGTTGCCTCGTTAAGAGTTATCTTCCTGTGCACTGTGAAGATGTTATGAGAATGCAACATTGAAACTTCTACTTTTCTCTGCTAGTGCTTTTCATGAAAATTTTGGCAGTCGGTGATTTTTAAGGCTTTTAATTCAAACACAGCTTTGAGGGAGTCCTCTGAAGTAGAGATGAGTTACAGACTGACTTTTCAAGATTCATGTTTTCAAAACAAACAAAAAGGCGAATTACATATAATAATTTTCTTAATAAAATGCCAACAATAGTAAGAGAGAGTTAACAGTAAGGTGAAGTCTGGGTGGGCTCATTTATCTTGCACTTTATATTTTGCTACCGTTAAGATCAGCTTCCAGAGAAAATTACCTCCACTGTTATTTTGTATATTATAAAGCAAGATAGAACCCTTATCCCTTATATACAGTATATTGTTAAGCACAAATGACCACAAGTCCAAACAGAGCTGTGCCATGTAATGCCTCCCTCCCTCATCTTCTAAGAGGGCACCAAAGGGGCTTGCTCAGGAGCATAGAGAATCAGCAGCAGCTTTCTCAGTGCCTTGGCAGCTGAGATTTGTGCTATCACCCTGTTCTGCTACATTAGCAATGCTTTATAGTCACTCTTCCTTTATGGTGGAGTCTTGTACACTAGAAGGAGGCGATTAACCCTTACACCTCAATTCCTCTAAAAAGAATGGGGTGGGGAATAAAAAAAAATCACAAAACAAAAGCCAAACAAAAAAAAAAGAGAACCACACAAGGAGCACTTTTAACTCAGAAAAAGATGATAACTAGTTTCTAGGTTAGCTTAGGACATCTTCCCCAGTCCTGCACCATCACTCATAACCCCTGCCTTGTGACTGCTAAGGTTTCCCATTTCATGATCACCATAATCTCAGTGCTAGATGAGGAGGTCCCCACTACCCATTGCCCTATCCCCAGTGGTGGTTCTGGTGGTCATGCAGCCGAGTAGTGAATCAAATCTGGGAACTGGTCTAGCTGAGAACTGACTGGTTTTGATTTTATTATGTTAGCTTCCAGCCAGGGTTTCCCAAAGTAGCTCACTATGTACCTGTATGATCACATGGGGCTAGCAGGAAAGGGTAATGGGATGGAAAGGAAGGGTGAAATATCTCCTTGAGCACCAGTTTAGCTTTGTATCGGACACAATTGATTGTGGAGCTACAACTTGACAGAGATGTAAAATAATTTAAAAGAAATCAAACTAGCTGCAACTTACCTGTTCATTCCTGAAAGCATGAAGAAGAGCATTGGCATCTTTAACAGTAAGGGGGAATGAGAGTCGTGGTCCATAATAGGAGTCTGGAACATTAATCTTCTTTTCAAATTCTATTAAACTTTCACCCACCACCTGAGACACACTAGGGCTGGTGAATATGTGAGAAACTGGAACAAGAGGGAAGAAAAACAACAATGTAGAAACTCCACCAGTCTCCCATAGGGCCATAACAGCACGACCAGAACTGGCTGAATGTAACCAATCCTTTACTTGCTGCAGTATTACAGTGGCTAACTCCTGCCTTGTATAGTGGAAGAGCTCCGGGTCTCCCCACGTTGTTTCACAAAACTAAAAACAAACAAACAAACCAAAAATCAAGCAAAACCCACCAAAACTAAAACACAAGGAAAAACTCTGTCTCAACAGCCAGTAGCTGTGGTCAGAATGCAGATCATTTTGCACTGAAGTTGTGGATCAACCTGCTCTCATAGGTAATGAGAAACATAACCTGCTACAGACTTCCTTCTCTTTCCCCCACAAAGCAAGAAGATTCAAAAATCATGGCTGATCATACAATGACCATCATCTGTTTAAAGTTCAGTATTACACTTTTAATACAGTTTTAAAGATTCACTTTCATTGCTTTTATATTCTATGTAAAATTTTTAGACTGAATACTAGCAGGTCAGTGATTATTTTAAAAGTTAGCAACAAAATCCTATTTATTCACAGTGGTTTGTAAAGCACTCCTTTCTGGTACAACTAGGAGGCAATGCCAGCTTTTGTTTGGCTGCCATAAAACCATGGGATGAAATAAAGCAAACAAAACCACAGTGGTAAAAGTAGAGCATAGCTTCTCATTTTCCTGGAACACGGGGAAAGCAGGAAGATCGCTAATTGCTTCAATACAGTATTTTCTTGACATATCCTTGAAATGTAACTGAGTGAACAGTAGATTTCAGTGTTTTCTTCTTGCAGGTTGTCTTTATCATATATTATTCTAAAAGAGAGAACCAGACCCTAGAGGATAGTGTTCTAGCAGCTGCTGTTGCAGAGTTGCTCGTCAGATGATTGTTGTGAACACTTTTTGCTGGGCTACAGGTAAGTTTTCTGTAACCTTGATTAGATGCAGCTGGAAAGAAAAACATATTATTTATTGCTGGAAGAATACCTGTGGCTGTGACTCAAAACTCACAGCAGCCAAAATGGGCATGTGGCCTCATAAATTGTGAGATTCATAAAGGCCAGCTTGGATACCTGGATAAAATTCATATTAAAGAAATAAATAGACAAAAAATACACTTTTATCAGCTCTGGATTAAAAAAAAACAACCCACCCTTTTTAATCAGCTCTTGTGCTGTGAGCTGATTAGCACATTCAGTGTACAGCCATGTAAATGGACTAAGGCATCAAGTAACAGCAAGGTGCTCAGGGTTCACCAGTTTCACCAAGCACAGTCTGATTTGCAGTCTCCACCACAGCTACCGCTCTGTCTGACCGGCTGCCAGAACATTACCCATGGACTGCAACTACTCGTTCCCACATACTCATCAGCCAAGCACAGCTGCATGATGTCTCGTCCCAGCTCCAGCAGTGGGTCTCTGGATGGCATCTGCCTCTATGCCCCACCTCTCAGGAAGGGGGTGGCTGCAGATCATGGATCCAATTCCTCAGACCACACAAAAAGCCTCATTGCCTGTTCTGGCCAGAGGCTCTCCTCATCTGACATGACTCCTTCAGAGTCAACAGTTTTCTCTGCATTTCCAGCCAGGCAGACACCTGTCCATGCCTGCTCCTACTCCAGCCCTCCCTTCCTGCATGCAGCAGGCTACCCATCCCTTTACCTCAGAACATGAACCTGCCTCCCTCACAGCCTTCCTTCCTTTTTGGCATGTGCCCAGGCTGAGAAACCCAATCTCCTTCCCTGTAGGGCATATCTCTGCAAAGTACACCCCATTTTCCACTTCTGGATGAGTCGTCAAAAGCCAGTCATGGTCATTAGCCTTAGAGTGCGCTTATGTCTCCTCAGGCAGTCTTTCAGCTGCCAGAGGAGTCAGTAATGGATGCCCTAATGCAGCCTGGGGATTAGTGCACTGGCCGATGAGTGCCCCAGCTCACCACAAGTCCCATGCAGGACTAATTCTGAAGGATTTGGCACCTCTCTCATTTTAGCCATTTTCTAGTCAAAGCTGTCACAAGGCTCTTTCAGTTCACATTGATAGGGACAAAAACTCTTGACATGCCTAGTTCAGGCATCCATCTTAAGACAAAATGAAATACCCTCTGCCAGTATCTGCATGTCTCTACAGAGAGCACAGGGACTGACCTGCTCTGTACTTTGACACCAGAGGTCTAGCTCAAGTTCAGTGAGTTGAGCCTTCACTGTTAGCAGACCCCATACAACTACCCCACGCAACAGTAGCCATATTCCATATTAAGCACAAAAGCCCACTGCTGTGTGGCGTCAGCTTGGCCACAAAAAAAACAGGGACTTGGTTCTACTGACAAGACCTCCTGGCCATGGGAGTTGTTCAAACAAGTCACAGACGCCACTGCCGAGGATGTCATCACTAAGGGGGTAAACAAGGAATCGGTTACTTCTGAAGCTCTGAAATCAGCTCCCTGTTCTGCCACCATCCATGCACCTTCACAGTAACCACTGGGGTACCTAAGAGCACCTCCAACTCCTGAGGAGTGCTCCTACACCTGCCAGATACTGATCCCCAGCCATTAGGTCAAAGCCAAATGGACCTTAAGCGCGCTAAGCGGGTGAAAATTCCTATAGCACTCTAAACATTTATTCATTCATTCCATTCCAGGCTCTTTAAGCTGCAAGCAGCTGTGACTTATTCCCCATTACAAAAACCAGTGTGCGCAAAAAGTCTTAGAAAGGTGTTAATGCTGTAAGGGAGGCATCATGGGGAGTGAAACTGCAGAAAGCAGCACTTTTTTTTTTTTTTCCCTTTTCAAGCAAGGCTCGAGGAGATGTGTCTCCTGCCCTAGTGACTTTGAGAGACACTGCCAGGGGTGCCTTGGACTTCTTGTCCCACCACTTTGCCCAGGACATGTTTGCAGCCTTCTCACCCTCAGCGTGCTCACAAAAGACTGAGTACATGGGTCACCTTTTGCTGGAAAAGCAGTTTCCAGCTTTGCCTCACCAAAGATGTTTCCATTGAAAGGCTGAGTGGGTATGCTGATTTTGTCAGGGAGGGAGGGAAAAAAGTGTAAGGTGAGAAAAGGTTTTAATTCTTACTTTCCACAAACCCTTTGAAAACAGCCTTTAATCAGAACAAGAAAAAGATACACAGCTATATAATATCCCAATCACAACTTAAACTGCATGGACATCTTAAGCAGGATGATAGGATGACAAAGCTTCAGGGTATAACATACAAGCACTACTGTGTTAATGAGATGGTGGCTGCTTTCTTTCTTTGAAAAACATATTCTGAAAGAGATTCAAAGGAGGAAAGTGACAAGATGAATAGTGGAGACTGAGTGGTTTATAATGTAAGGGAAAACACAGATCACAAAATCTTCAGGTAGCTTTCTCATCACATACTGAGAAGAACAGGCAACCTATTCTCCGGTAAGAATATTATATATCGTCTTCTTGGAGGGGGCTTTTGAACCATGCTATCATTCTAATTTAAGTGAGCATAGACTGATAAAAATAAAGCCAGAGAATTGTGGGTTTTAGAAAATGCTTGGGAATAGCACAGTCAATTTGAAGCTTCTCTGCCTGTTAGTTTACACTCACCGTGGCTCACATCTTAAGACCATGATTCAGCAGAAGTGGCAGCACTTTATTAAGAATCACTCTATTCAGCACTTTAACTTTGCTTAAATCAGGGAGGATAGCATGGGTGTCACAAAGGTCACTTAGAGGGGCAAGCAAGCATGAGCTTGAAGTAAAGAATGCACACAGCCAGTAGCCGGACAAACATAACCACACATCACACAACAAAAATTCAGTATGCAATTTCTCAAAAAACCCCAAACCCTAAGTTAGCTCCTTTGCATAGGTGACCTTGGCCATCTCTCTATTAAATATGTACCTTACAGAATCTTTCTGTTTCATTTTGGGTTCCGGTATTTCTAACATAGGGGTTTAGGAAACAAGAAATAACAGAACAAGACAAAAATAAAGGCTTTGGAGCCGTTATCAAGTCTTAACAACTTCAGTCCTAACAGACGAAAGTGTTAAGCAAGCTTTACCATAAACCGTGCACTTTATCATGTGTTTCAGCCTTAACCACATCAGCAGCTCCCAGTATCTGGAAGACTAAGAAACAGGTCATCCTGCGATGAGGGGCAGCCCACAGTACCCTCTGTCTCCCCCCTGTCCACAGGTGGGGCCTGGATGTTCACCTGCCCACAAACAGCCTGTATGTAGCAGTGATCTCTGTACCAGCCATGTTCTGAGCCCTAGCAAGTCACCTGAGGCACTTCACTCACCTTTGTTCCTTCTGTCAATAGACACAGTTAATAAAGGTGAAGAAATCATATCTTCAACAAGCAGCTGTAAAATTCCCTTTTAATATTACAATGGAAATAGACATTAACACTATTTTTCCAAATCTCAGACCTAGCTCTACTATTCTCTTTCCCACTCGAGTGGAAAAACTGAACTAAGGTGCACTCTCAGCATGCAGAAGATGTAGATGAAGTGAGCAGTGTCTGATTGTCCTTAAGTTTGTCAGTTCCTTCCCAGGAAGTTAAATGATTAAAGCAGATATTTTTGCAGAATACAGTGGTAATGGAAAAAAAATCAAAGGAAAGATTATTGTATCATCTGCCTTGGCTTTGGAGCAAGGCTCAGACATAATTTCTTTTTCTGCAGAGCACACAGAGCATTGGGCACTCTAAAGTATTTAAGCAAGAAAAATTGCCATTTTTAATGGTTTTCATTAGAACACAGAACCACTTAATGGTTTTGATGGGGTTCTTATCCAGCTATCAAAGTGTCTTGTGCAAATTTTAATTGGAATAACCTGTGGCTGGACCGGATGAAAGAGAAAGGAACTTTCTCTTGTAATTCAATATGAAAGGGACAGTCTCTTTTTTAACCCCCCTGGGATTAGATCTATTCTCAATATGTTCAGGGAAGTCATGTTTGTTTTCTGGACTTAGGAATCACCTTCAGTCTGTCCTTCTGTTGAGCTTGACCTCAAAAGTAAATTTTGTCCAAGGATCCCAAAATACTTCAAAAATTAAAGGTTATTCTTTGAATAACTGAGCTTTAACAGAGATGGTTTCTAAAGATTTATCTCCAGCAGTTTAAATTTATCTACATACTGATAACATGTTTTGCAATGAAATCTAGAACAAATTAAATTAAAAAGCGGTCCATAATTGCTTCAGGGGAAAAAGAATAAAGAAAAGGAATAGCAACCTCTTTGAAGGAACTGCTTTGATTACACCTGCACTAAGCCAACCAGTCTTTCTGGACAATTGCATCTCATAGTTTAAGAATACACGCATAGAAAGCTGTGAAAATTGGAGTCAGCAACACTACCATGAGCTTAAGAGCAGTAACATATAAGAAAGCACTCTGAGCACCTCTGAGTATTCTCATAAAGACAACAGGTATCTGTTCTGTCTTACATCTTTCCTCCCTGAGTAGATATTGAGCAAAGTCAACACTTACAGGATAAAATACTTATTACAATATTTGGGAAATCAAATCTCAGCCCCAACACGTGCCATTGGCTGTAAACATCACATTGAAAATTAACTTTCCTCACATCATTTTTTTCAAATAGAAACTCTGTATTACTTCCATTTTTATCCTTACCTGATTCAGGATGAGTACAGTGATCCAGCATGAATGTAAAAAAGTTGGATAGCTGAGTACGGAAAAAAAAAAAAAGAGAACAAACACACACTGATCAGTTTAGGGGATCCAAAAAGCATTAACCTACTCTTTTCTTACTCAATTACTAATGATTTCCTATTTGGGGGGATCTAAGACACTGCTATATGTTCCCATAGCATCAGCCTACAATATGACACCACTTGTGGCCTACTTCCTTCTTTGCTATGAATTAGCAGATAGACACTATATTAATACATTCAAAGTTCCAGGGCTGTATCAATGCTGCTGACATTTTGGGGGTAATTCATCTTGCCCATCATCCAGACTATTTCCCTAGACTTCCTTTGCAGTCAATAGAAAGATACTGCTACAATGCACCAAACTGACTTTAGACACTGATGCTAGAATGAACACAAAGCTCTAGATGCTCCTAATTCCCTGAACTGACTCCCAAGGCTGACATGCTGGGACACTGATATCTCTGCTGTATATATCTTGCCTCACAGACACAGTTAAGCTCACCATAGTGGGATGACCTGCAATCCCCGGGTAACAGAGCTGTTCTCCAGGAACCTTTAGCCTAGATATGGTTGTATGGGCAGAATGGTGTCCTGCTGCTTACATAGTTATATATATAAATATGTATGTATACACACAACTTGTGTGTGAGGCAGGGAAGTGGTTTTATTAAACAGGACACAGCTTTGTAGGGTGAAATAACCACATACTCATTTTGTTTGTGCAACTTCAGTCCTCTGAGGATAACACAACTGCTTGTACAGGAATAATTGAAGATTACAAACCTGTAGTTGATCTTGCTCTTCAGCATATTCGATTGACTGAAATATACTCAGAGAATAGCGGCGCTTCATCTCTAGCCGGGCCACTGTAAGGCGGTACCAATTCTGGATGAGGACAGCAGCTCTAATGACTGACAAAACAGAAAACACTTTAAGAATGTGTATCTACTATTGTCCTGCTCCAGAAAACTGATGGAAACTTCACTAAAGGACAATCACCAAGACTGCAGCCTAGAGTGAAGGGCCTGCTGCCCACAGACCCCAGTCATGCTGCAAACAGATCACATTCCCTTAGCTTCTCAGATAAAAGTTTATTAAGCAGAACAACATCTGGTGGCACGAAGAGGTCTTGGGGTGGGCACTATCCTGTGGGGAGAGCTCCTTGCCCTTATGTCAAGCAGTTAGTGCTGCGTGAACAGTGGCTACCAGCGAGAGCTGTGCAGCTGGACAGGAGCTTCAGGAGCCAATGCCCACTTGATCTCTCCCCACCACAGATGAGGAGAACAGATGAGCTCAGCAGTAACTTCTGTTTCACAGAGCTTTAACAACTCTCTAGTACTTTATGGGTGCTTATCCAGAAAGATCAACTAACTTTGAGAAAAGCACTCCTCAGAGGAGAATACCATACACTATACAAAGTAGGAACAAAGTGCAGCCTTGAAGATCAAGCAGCTGAAATAACAGCAAATTCAAATCTAGTCATTTGCTTAAATTACGGTCAGAAGGGGACTCTGTATGAACATGCTTAGCCCTACAGAGCACTAATAGGGGCAGCCAAGAGGCATTACATGCGTCACTGCATAACAGTGAGAAGAAGACAAGCACAGGGGCATTGGATCCTGCATCCGTCCCAGTGCAACCACATCACCACCACCATATTCTTGCATGGCAACAAAAAACAGTAAGGGATGAGGCTGCTCTCAAGAGATGTCACATTTACTCAAAGTTGAACAGAATTCTTTCTTTACTGATTCCTTACCTCTTTTTGCCTACCTCTTTTTGCCTGCCTCTTCTTCCCTGTACTCTCAAAAGGATAGCAGTAAATAAGTAGACAGGGCCAGAAACGTCAAGCCTTTGTCTCCAGCCCTGCAGCTAACACCTCACTTCAAGGAGTTTCCTAAGGAACTCAACCCTGAATAGCTCAGCATAGGACACAGAAAAAAGTCTTTGTGCTTCTGATCTTGGGGGAACAAGTCAAAGCAGTTGCAGGGCAACTCTATCGAAGGTACAAGGACCAAAGGAATACACTGATTTTAGCTCCCGACGCTCCCGAGAACTACAGTTTGGGTTTGAGCAGATGAAGGAGATCAGGAGAAGCACAGAAACAAAACTGAGACATTGTACTGAATTCCAGAGTTTGATACAATCACCTCTGCACAGCACTGCAAATCCATGAAAAAGAAAAAAAGAGGAAACTAACACCAACACTAATGTCTTAACGTGAACATGTTTCTATTTTATCACAGTTGCCAAAATGAACAGTTGATATGGAAAAACAAAATAAAACAAGAAATAACAACCAGCAAGTCATACTAATGCTTTTTCTCTCTGCAAAATACCACAGAAGAGTTCTGCACTAGAGGGACAACAGTTTACACTAGTCAATTATTTCAGCTGATTACAAATACCAGGAATTTTGAGAGCAGGATGAGTGGCACCCCTGAGTGACAGTGAGTTTTTTCTTAAACTGACAGTTATGCAGGTAATGAAAAACTGCCATGGAAAAGCAATTCTGTTAAAAAATGTATAATATTAAGAAAGCTTTTTTATAAAAATGCTTATAGGTGCCATAATAGCATGTTGTTTGCTTACTTTACCATTAATAAGTATGCAGTATAGATAAAGTGGTAAAGTTTTCTTGCCCAGACAAGGCCAAAATCAGTAGACTCCCATCCAAGAAAAATCCTCCTGTCTGAAAGAAATGTAATCCTTATATGACTAAGAGTGTCCTTCCTAGCCTACATAAACTCTGAGACCTCTCTTATTTTCTGGAATTCCCCTCCACCACAGATCTGAAAGCCTGACACATCACAGCAAGGTTGTTGTCAACTTTTCTGTTTAGAAGAGTACCTAAGGGGCAAAGCACAGCCACCAGCACAGAAACTGATTTTCAGCATCAGAACCATTAAACCTCCCATTAAAGCCCCCATGGGTTGCTTAATGGTCCTAAGCACTTAACATGGCACAGTTCCACTGGTATCACATAAGACAGATATATATTGGCCACTATGGTTAATGTTGCAAATCTAACAGAATATTTCCTGTCATTCTTTTTAATGGTACTTATTACAGCATTGTTATTCTCAGGATTGAATCAGAACATGATTTTCACACTAGGCTAAACTGCATCTGTAAAATAAATTATCAGTTGCAGAAGGTCTCTATACCAGCAAGAACCTGTTAAATTCATGTTATTAATGAATTAGAGAGATGTACAGCCTCAGGCTGCAGATAGAATGATGGTTCAGCATAATTTGACTACTACTGAAGTGCAGAAAGAACAACATCGAGCAACTGGAGAGGACAAAACATTGTCAAACAAGCATACAAAATCATAAACCAGCTTTGTGGTAGCAAATTCTCGCTCCACACCAATATATATTGATGGTTGTAGACCAAGAAAGAGTACAGCTCCTCATGCCCACTCCAAGCTTTTGTACGCTCAGAAATATTCCCAACTAACTGATCTCCAAGGTCTTGCAAGGCACATATATGCATAGCATGCAAACCCAAGGTGGAAGGACCACTTCCCAGTTACAAGTAGGTCTGGGACTCCAGATGTTTCCATTCTACTTCCACTGCTGTGATATAGCACTGACGCTGCAGTGACATCCAACTGGCGTACACAAAGCTGAGGGCTACTTGTAAACCAGTCAGCTTGGATCCATGTAGCCATGACTAAGTGCTCCTGCTTCTTAGTTGCCAGTTTCCTGTGACTTGTGTCCTGGCCTGGTAGCTAAAAAAAGCCTTCCTTTTCAACCATTGTTGCTCAGCATAATAATTTCTTAAAACTATACACAGTGCCGACTTGTAAATTGTCCTTTAATGACAAACCTTGAAAAAGAACACAGCGTCTGAACAAAGGTCTCTAACCAACCCTGGAACCCATCTGTCTGTGCAAAGCCTGGTGTGTTCATACCGGGGTGTACAGGGGGATGATGCATTAGCTTTTCAATTGAACATTTAACCAGGTACTGTGGAAACTTTCAACTGACAGCTTCAGTGACTGTCAGGGAGAATTTCAGGCCAGGAGGAAATTGATTCTTAGAGTCATTGTAATGGCTGTGCTTTATTATACTTTTCATAATTGGGGTCACCCAACAGCAGGGAAATTGGGGCAGTTTGCCCAGGAATCAGATGTTGTGAAAAGTCATATAAGGTCCCCCTCAATACCTTACCCCATATGCTTTGCCAGTGACAGAGCAAGCAGAGACACATCTGAAATTTAGCTTCTGTCCCTGATGCTGTGAATCTTCCCCAAGCTGTTAGATGTGGTCTACAGTTGCCTTCTGACCTCAGCCAGCATATAAAAGCTATGAAGTCTTTTAAAAAGAGGATAATTAGAAAATAATTTTCTCTAAACAAGTATTTTGACAGTAGGACTGGGGGAAACGTTCTTTGCAATCCTCTTCTGTTGTTAGAGAGAAAACAACCACTGAAAAAGAAGGCAGCACTCACCTCTCTCGGACTTTCGGTCAGATACAGAATTGCTGCACCCCATGGCTCCAGTGATGCTGCCCATCAGTTTTAATTGCTGCTGATACGAAGCATGTTTCACTCCGCTGTTAGCGTTACAAACATTTCCTGTGTTGTTCCTTCAGCAAGGAGGACCATACCCCTCTGGGGTCCTGTGCTCTTCCTAGCACTCCTGACCAGGAGATGATTGGGAGGGAAAGAGAAGAAAAAAAAAAGCATTTGACAACACGGAATCTAAAGTACCTACAGCTCATAAAAAACTTACTGTACAGCACATCCTACACACATTGGACCTGATGAACCATGCTAGGTTTCCTTTGCACATCTGATCAGTATCAGCTTGCATTCAAGACAGACAAACTCAGTAATTAAGACAATAATTAATACAATTTACTTCTTACATGTTAGCTGAAAGTTAATGTGCACCAGTGATTTCTTAATCTGAAACATAGCTATTTAAAGCCTCACTACTAGGGACAAGGGACTACAGAGGTATGCTACTCTTCATTCTTGTGATTTGAAAATTGGAACTGTGGAATTTTAAAGACTTTAAATTACATCTGATACTATTGCTAAGAAAACCCCAAACCTCAGCCTTCCTAACACTCTGTTGATTTGAAAAGGTGCCCCACCACCTCATTTACCACTTTATCCCTCAGAGTCACCACAATCAAATTTACATGGAGAGACAATGCCATAGCAAATTGTTTCATTATCAGATTTCACTGGAATAAAACATCCAATTTTCTGTTGCACTTCTACGGAAACATTCCAAATAAAAGATTTAGTTTCATTAAATACATGAACAAAGTACATTTTGCAGTGTGGCCTTTTGGGATTTTCTCGTGGCACTTGCTCATCTCTTCACTAGCTGGTATCACTCACTAACACAGTATACTTCCTAATCATCAAGTTCAAATGAATACGATTTTTCTGAGATACATAATAGGTCAATTTCTAAGTAACAAAAAAATCACTGATGTTTTTAGAGAGACTGATTTTTTTTTAGCTAAAGATATCTTATATGATCACACCGGCCCATGAAGATTCTCTCCCTGTTTCCAGGTTTACAAGTTTCTCTCTAGCGTGTCTGATATATCTAAATTATTGCATTCATTCTTTTATTTCATTTATATTCCTTGTCTTTTAACTTGAATTTTAAAGCAAAGAAGAAACTCATCAGCAGAAAAGAAAACTTTTCCTTTGGCTTTACTAGCAGAAGTAAAAATAACAGGAGGAAAAGAGAGAGAGGAAAACACAAATGGATAACTAGTCTATTTTCAATTTCTATAGTTAGAACACATTTATTGTTGTGGGACTATTTACAGTTCATATAGAGAGTTATGTTATGCTATGTTATGATAGGTTAATATAGTTGTGGGACTTCTTTACAGGGTCCCACAACACAAGGGCATCCTACACTTGAGCTGTGTCTGCCACCTTCTGAATCAGTATTTATTTCAGGAAAGAAGGATTTTAGGGTTTTTTCTCCACAACGGACTGCTTTTCTTCCCTCTGAAGAAGATAACATGAAATCCAAACCAGTGCTTTTACATTAATTTTGAACCAATCACTGGCTTTGACAGCATCAAATGCAGCACTGGTATTTTTCTCCTCTCCAAAAAATTGTTGTTTTCCTGAATAGCATCTCCTCGGTTGCTGTCTTAGACTAATGAAGACTTGAGATTCTCCTATCTCAAGCCAGCCAGCCACAAATTGAATTGTGATCTGAGGACTAGGACCAAGAGCAAAATAAAGCTTACAATCTATTGCAGCAAGACTGTCTTCATTAAAGGTCATGTCAGCATGTGCCCAGCAACTGGCCAATGGAAGCCCCAAACAAAACCATCATGCCTCGCAGGGCTACACCCCACCCAAGCTATAGCAAACAATGGGCTGACCCAAGAAATGGGAATCTGAATCACTCTCACACCTTGCTTTCCACAACTTAAGCTTTTCTTCCAGCTTCTTCTTTTTCTCCACCTACCTCCTAATTCATGGACTCTAGTACCTACTTAAGCAAAGAAATAAAAAAGATAGAGACAAAGGGCCAGAAATTTTATGGTGACAGCAGTAAATGAAGCCTGAAACATACACTCAAAGCTCAGAGGAAAACTTGCACAATATATCCATCCTATCATTATACCTCTTAAAAAGGCCAGATATGGCCATCAAAGAGTTAGTCCAGGGGAATAATCATCACCTTCAGTCCCAAATATCTGCGTTCTAAAAAAGCCATAGAGAACATTTACACTACTACCCTATTTCCTGGTGGCTTCTCAGGTGGCTACAGAGCTACTGGGCCACCAACCTGCACATCCAGACCCCAGACCAGCCACACCTATTGAACATTCCAGCAAGCAGGGTCTCCACCCAGGCCCAGCAAATTCACTTTCTGCCCTTCTTGTCTAATTAAAGAATCATGAACAAGTGGAAAGGAAGCTCCAAAGGTAAAAGTCTCTCCCTTTCCACCCCTGGCATATGTTGGTTCAAGCCAACTCCCGCCCCATGCCAAATCCTGCCTTGCTGGGCAAAGGCATAGAAAAATACCAGGCAAAGGTCATGAAGGCCTTCCATAGGGAAGAAGGTTGAAAACCAAGCATTTAAAACATTAGAGCAATTTCTGTGAGCTATTCTAGCTATTCCTAGCTATTCTATTTACTATGCAGTGTAGCAATGTCTGGTGAAGAATCATTTGCCACTACAAAATTTCCCCAAACGATGGCTGATGAAATGGAAAGCTGGGCTTTTACCAAGGTATTGAAAAAGGCTAGAGAGATACAAGGTAGCTGGATGAGAATTTAGGACATAATGCTGTGTTAGCATTCTGGATACTATACCACTGATTTACCCTTAAGAGAGAATCTGTCATGTTCACTAAAAAGCGGGCAGTAATTCAATTTCTACAGGCCAGTGATCTGTCCCACTTTTAGATATAACTCCAAGAAATTGCTACACTTCTCTCAGTTCAGCAAAAAGGCAATTTTGTGATGGACAGGCACTGAATACACAGCCCATCCACTGAAGCAAAATAAAATGTCATTCCAACCATGCCAATAGACATGCATCAAGCTAAGCCAGAGTGGCACATGCTGCTCTTTTTCTGGATAGGAGTCACTGAAGGTTACACTGCAGCCAATGCTCAGAAATTTAGGGTTCAGAACCTGAGGTCTCACGAACCTGATTTACAGAGCTAATGAATCAGCACCATTTGATCTGGGTGTAATAGGTGCTGCCCAAAATCAATCATGCCTCCAGTTTGTCAGTCATGTAACGACCAAGCTGCCTCAAGAATAATGGAAATCTTGTAAAGATTTATAGCTGACTTTTAATGAAATCAGGCTGCAGGTCCTTTGGGCAGAGAGCCATCCTTTCAAGCATATCTTATCTTTTAAAATTAGATGAGCTGTGCTATTGGCAGACAAGTGTAAGCTAGGTCAAGCCTGAGGATACGGAAGCCATAAGAATAAGAGCCACTAGGCTTTAACTTCTTCATCTGTCTTTGTTCCATTTGTGTCTTACCTTTGGTAAACAAAGAATGAAAGGCTCCTCCATTTTTGTTGGGATGGGATTTCCACAATTATGCTACTTCCCCTACAAGTTGTTTCAATGGCTATCTCCAGCAACATGCCTCCTTCCCCTACTTTCTCCCTCCTTCCCCTTTTCTCAAGTGTATTTATGAACAAGTAGTTATGACCTCCTACCATAACATGTCTTAGAAGGTACGTGTGGTGGGAGAGGTGATGAGACAGGGACAGTTTTCCCTGTAAAGATCAGATGGATGGAGGGGTGGAAGCTTCCAATGGCGGGGGCTCTCCTTTGATGTCTTCTTGCTATCATTTTTTTGATTTTTTGTGACTCACAGACTTTCTTTTGAGTTGTTTTCCTTTGGAAATGAGGACTGCAGAGAGCTGAGAAATAGATGTTGTAACATGGGTTTATGATGGATTTCCTTCTGTGCATTGCTGAGCGAATGATGCAGGAAAGAGCAAAATACCCTACAGAAGAGAACCCAGACATTAAATCACAACACCCAGTTTAGTACCTGCGGAGGGACAACTCTTTAAAGCTGTCTTGTTGCCACTTGGGATTGTCAAGGATGGCAATCTACAGATGAGTTAAAGATTTCATTAGCTAAATGACCCACTCTGCAGAAAGTGGGATGAAGCAGCCACAGTCAACTAATAGAACGAAACAGAACCTGGCTATGGCACACAAGGGCTGTTATTTTGACACCAATGCTGAATGTGATCTGCCAAGGGGCTTATAGGAGAACATCATAGGCAAACCAGTATGTTTTTAGGTCTCTATTTTACATCCATGGGACAAACTGACCTTTCTATTAAGTGTCTTTCAGTGATTATATATGTGAGAGAAGGAAACGAGAAAGCCTTTTTGTTGACAGATAATTTTCCAGCTTTCTCAGAGAAGCATGGCTAAGCTCAATATAGAGCTGATAGAATCATTTCTAGCAATGGCTGTGTTGACGTCTCTCAGTGTTTGGGCCAGGAATCAATAGGGAATGGATGTAGTAAGATACCGGAATCCAGCAAAGCTTGAAAGAAAACAGGATGAAGACGGACCAGTTCATTAAGGTGGACTCGTATTCCTGAGCACAAAAACACACTGCAAAAAGAAATGAAAGCAAGAGCTGCAAAGGTGTGAACATGCAGAGATTGTTCAAGCAATCATAGAGTTCAGGAACTGCATGCAAATCCAAAAGAGGATCTGTAGAAAAATGATAGGAAAAAAACAGTTCATGCTATTTACAACCAACAAAGGATACATTTACACAAAACTTTTACAGTTATTTTGTGCAGAAAATAAACAAACAAAGCAAGCAGACTAATTTTTGTGCAGTGAGATGACTTCGGGTAGAATGCTTTTTAAAAAATACGGGCAGTAGCAAATACAAGTGAACAAATAGGGTGCAGATCACGTTGAAGTACAAGGAAAGCCATCATACCACTTTCCAGAGTTAAACTCCTCTAGGGGGAGATTTCTTCAGGAAGCAAGGATAAAGCTAAAAATCCTGAAGCAAAGTTAGCTCTAGTAGACTGGATCCAACCGGAGCATAGAAGTCAACAACTGTTGTAGCTCATTATTCTGGAGGAAAAGGAAATTCTGAAACATGCACCATCCTGTAGTTAATGAGCAGAATCTTAATGATATCCCATTTAATTCTCCTTACTTGAAGGGGGAAAGTGGTGAAAAAGCAAAGCTCTAGAATAGAATAAATATGTGCTGAAATCTGAGCCAGGTTAAAAATTTAATTCATGCTTCAGCTGAAATTTATACTGGTTCTAATAAAGTTTAAGTTAAGCACCAGAAAAAGAATTATCATTGCAAAAATACTTTTTCCTAAAAGAAATACTACATGAAATACAGTCTCAAAGCTATTTGATCTCATCTGTACTAAGAAGTTCTGGATAACTAATGCAGTCCAGGTCAAACTTTATAACTTGAAGCACATTGATTTTTCTCAGGGTAAAATTACAAATAGTCCCACATACATCTGTCACACCCTGCACAGACTTAGGATGAAGTAAATTTGCTCTTTAAAAGCCAGGTAAATATAAATATCCAAAGATATTACCTGTTTTTTCTTTCTGCTCAGCAACACCGACAATTTTTCCACCAGAGTACCTTTAGAAGATTCTTTTTTTAAGAGAGAGCAGCCCCTTTTTGGAAGCAGAACAGCACAACGACGGGTGCAGCTCTGCAGAACAGGTGCTCCAATTCTCTCTGGGGCTCTGGAGCTCAGGAGCTGCAATGCACTTGCTCCCCACCTATTTATACAGCTTCCCGAGAGGAAATTTCTTGAGCACTGCTCTTCAGAAACAGTCAGGGGAAAATGCCGTTTTCATCGTCCAGCCTGATGTGAAAGCTCATGGCTGCAGCCCTCTAGCAGCACTGTACGCGTGCTGGTGAAGAGCTGTTTGGTCACCATGCCTCCTGAATCTCAGGCAGAGAAAGGGATGGGCTGAAGTTATCTGCTTCGCATCTGAAGTCACATGATCTCTTTCAAGAGGACCGGCCTTTCTGCTGTGTTAAGGCAATGATTTGCATTTTAGCAGATCTAGCACACTGGAAAAAAACCATAAGGGCTGTCCAGGTATTTGTAACAGGCATGGTTATGAAAGCCCTTAAGAAAAGAAATACTGAATTTACTATGAGACATTGTGTCTTGCATATTAGTGATATAGGTGTTCTCCAAAAGAGTCATACCCAGATAATGGAACAAGTATGAAGCACTCAATTCTTGTGCTCAGAAGCAGTGCACTAATGCCTGTACATTTAATTTCTTTATGTGTGTGCACATGTTCTCCCCTTAAATGTGTGACTGGAATTCAGTGGACTCTGTTCATGGTTTGCCTCGTCTGCTCCTCCTTTGACTACTGGAAAGGCATTGGACAAGCTGAGAACGCTGCAGTGTTGCTCCTCTGTGCAGTCAGGAAGCTGTGGCACTGCATGCTTTGAAATCAGACCCTGACCCCTGGCACCTCTGACCCAGCTCCTCACCAGGCTGACCATGGTGTCCTCACACCGTGACACATGGGCTGCCACTCACAGCACAGATGCCCGAGGAAGGGCAGAGCTGTCACACCCAAGGCGACTCGTTAGTGCCCACTGCTAGAACAATAGCCCCTGAGGAATCTGCTGCCTCTGGCGTGGGGCAGTATATTGATAGCATAGGGACACTGCAGTTTTGAACACGTACACCACCAAACCACTCTAAAAATATTAGATGTCAGTAGATGTATGGTGGTGTAATATCATCAGTATTGTCTTGAGCCCAGTTCTCTGCACCTATACACCACCTTTACCCCCAGTCTGTCCTTCCACCCCCCTCTGAAGCCAGGAAGGGCTGCTTGCTGCTGTGCAGTGATGGAACAGAGCATAGCAGCCACTTCTGTGGGGTCAGTGGGGGCCCCGTGGGTCCATAAAGGACAGCAGGATATAAAGCATGCTGTGGTGGGAGGAAGCTCCATGCTGATGGGCACAAGATGGGGATTACCGTGCTCTGTAACATCTCCATGTGATGGAGTCCCACCAGGACTGGATAGGGAGCAAAAGGTTTCTGAGAACAGAGACAAACAAAGCAAGATCTTCGCTCTCCTGCCCCTGCCCCAAAGGTTTAACAATATTGCAAGGTGGTATTTTCAGGAAATTGTTGCCATCAGTCTGGTGACCGTTCTGAAGATATCAACCACCACTGTGAAGGACAGGGTGATGAAATCATATTTTTGGACAGACAACTGCCCTTAGTGTGACACAACGGATACATTTATTACTGTGCCAAAGATACTTAAAGTACTAAACCAGCAGAGCAGAAGGCACTGTGTGAATGCACTGGTTTGATTGACTGAGCTAGTTCTTTGAGGTTCTGGAGTCCCAGACACAAGCTTCCACTTTCAAAGCTGTTCCTCTCCTGTGCAACGAGACAGTAAATGGAATACATACCAGGCGTGATAATTCTGCATGACCCAGAAGAGTTCTGATGTTTGTTTTTCTGGCAGGATGCACTTTCCCTGATCAGAGTTACAGTAGCTAATCATTTATGTATGATCACGCTGTTCTGCCAAAACGCATGCAGGCAAAAATACATCATAACCTCTTTCCACTGCACTCTGGGGATATACATTATTTATAAAATATTTACTGTACCTGATAAATTCATCTATATTGGCATTCACCAAGATCTCTGCATAATGAGAGGCTACAAGGCTTTTTCCAATGGCCAACATATCCATCAGAAGCGTTTCATCCAAGATCAATGGGAGAGGGATCAACCCCTTAGCTGTTAGGTTCTGTAGGGCATAAAGCCTCTACTGCAAGTTTTCTTTTGTTGTTCATGGAATTTGTTCGTTCTCTGTCTCAGTGGTCTGATATGACCAAGCAACCTGATAAAGAGTCAGTCTTGCTGGATCAACCCGCCTCTCCAGTTACGTTTTGGGATCACAATAACATGCAACTTGAGGAAACACAAATGTGCTTTCCAAATTAACCTTTCCTGTTCAAGTCCAAGGACGTAGGCTGTACCAAACAGGACCATTCTCCCTTTTACATAGGGCAAAGAGAACATACCAGTCTGACAAACAAGGACACACATACTACTGCTTTTTTGTTCAGCAATCATGTATGACAAGCACACTTAAGATGCTGGAAAGGGTTTTAGCAAGCATCAACAGCTGCAACAGAAAGTAGGTCAAAAAATTCTGACAATATGTTGTTGAGCAGTCTAACATGACAAGAAAAAACCCCAGTTACGTTGCTAGCACAGAAATCGGGACATCCCTTTACAAGCAGCCCTTCCTGATGTAATAGCACGTATTCTGTTTTCCAAATACTTTGGAAACATTAATCTCCTGAGCAAGCCTCCATGCAGGCATTCCACATACATAATTCAAATTCTGCTTCAGGCCTGTTTCTCAGAAGCACCCACTACAAAGTGATGTAACCGATATTTTTCATAAAGACTGAAGATAATCAAAGTCAAACAGAATGTGCTCCTTCTGCGCCCTGGCCATGGTTCCCCTCCTCTTACCCTTCCAAGCTCAAAGAAGTATTTTCATATGACTCAATGAAGCATTTTAAAGTACTAGCCAGAGGACAAGTCCCTGCCTGAGAGACCTGGATGTCCAATCACAAGCAGAAAGAATAAAAAGAACAGAAGGAATGAAGATAGAACTAAATGTCCAGAACAATTATAAATTCTGTCTCAGTCAGTGGGAGAAATCTGCTCTCACAAATTAGGAGAAGTAGGTTAATTTGGGTGAACAGGAGAAGAACTCTCTCTCTCTCCCGCCCTCCCCACCCCCCGACAATTCTGGGTGAGATGATGGATAAATAAAAGACATCAAAACTAGTCAAAAAGAACACAAAATCAGAAATGTGAAAGAAAGGCAGCTGTAGGGCCTTTAGATTCCTGAAGGCCAAGAAACTAGACCAGAACACTATGAAAGCATCAGGATACCTTCTGAAAAATAAGAACAATTTTTTTTAAAAAGGAAAATTTCCCAAATTATCAGCTGAATGCAGATTATTCTGGGAAGCAATGACTAATGACCTAATTTGCACACTGTATCTCCCTCACAAGTTAGCTTCAGCCTCCACTTAGAGCCTATAGAGATGATAGCTATCTACAGCACTCAGGTTCTACCAGGTCTTAGTAAAGCAACATGAGGGAAAAGAAATGGGCAAAAAAAAAGTTGCCTAATGACAGTTTGATCTCCATTTTGTTGGTCTGGTGAACCATAAGCTGCACAGACACTGCAAAAACCTACGTCTTGAAGCCTCAAGCCTACCAGACTGTCCCTTCCCAAAAGGCGCCCCTGGGTTGAATCAGGCTCTCCAGGTCAGGGGGGTAACACAGATGTGACTCATGCACTGCTGATCAGAATGTACAAGGATTTTTTTAAATTATTTTTTAGTATGCTTTTAAAGACTGTGAACTGCCAACTACTACGAGGTGCCATCACATACCTGGGGGGGGCGCAAAATCTACTGAAATTATTTTTTTTTCACTTCTATTTTCACCTTATCCTTATGAAATTGCTTCTAATGACAAAAAGACAGAATTTTCTACCTTGTAACAGTAAGCCATCTGCAAAATACTATTCAAGAGTGAAGCCAACTATGATATTTAGCTACAAAAAAAATACACAGTTTTGCTTATTGGCACCACAAGCTTCTGAAAATTAACAAAGCTGTCTTTTACAACCCAAATAATAGTTTCTGCTCATAACTTTTAACCACACAGGTGCCTTCATTTGTACCTTCGACATGCCACTCCCTTCGGGCTGAGAGGATCTGCCACGGTGAGGACGGAGGCAACGGGAGCAGCGCAAAACCCACCGATAAAACCTAACGGATCAAACGAGGCAGTTCTTGCCTGCCGTGACAAAA